AAAGAGCACCTGACATAAAATTTCAACACCACCTCTACAAATTTCATTCAACCAACCCTAAGTAGTTGGTAATAAGCTGATTCTGGTGATTGTTAACTGGAAAATTTCATTCAACCTGCAGCTGTATGTTTCCAGTGAAAAGTTTAACCAACCAATATTCCACTGCAACAATATCTCTGCATCTGTGGAACCTGTAAGTACAAAAATGATAGTTTGCGGACAGTATGGGCCTTTATATTGGGTGATTCTCACTTTCATTCTTGCAAAATGATGTCAGGTTGTGCCAGAGAATGAAAACAGGGCTTTGTATTCCACGCACTCCATCAAAATCGTGTTTAAGGAAGGTGGTTGTGGGACTTTTGTGCCCTTATTTTTCAACTTAATAAAGTCGGTTAGAGAATACCATCGGCAACAGCAAACTGCTGCAGCGGCTCAGCCACGAATGGATCCTTTGCAAGCCGCACAAACTCCTGTTGATGAAATGATGAGACACGCGTAAGTATCTAGTGCTTTGTTTGCCCCGTCACAATATTGATTGTGAAGTTAAAAAAGAATATAAACTGACGGTCTTGTTTTTATCTGTGTTGAAATTTTCAGCTATGTTGACCCCAATGATCCCACAAAGATCTTTCTGCAGCAGCCCACTCCCGAGTCTCAGCTCAGGCGGCGCACATACCAGCCACATCCTGCTGAGCACTCAACTTGAATTGTCTGTTGGGCATGGTGGACATTAAGCTGTACGAGTTTATTATATATATAAAACAATTATGGAATCCTTTGAAACGTGTGTATATTGAGATGTGCAGTATCAACATTCTGTATCAGCTTTTCTTTCATATTGAATGATGTTTAAACGAAGTTTCAGCATTGTATGGACTGTTGTTAAATATCCGCATATAGATGCAATAACATAAATTTAAAGCACCTCTTCCTAGATTTTTTCTACGAAGAGGGCCTCCTTCCCTACGGAAAGGATGATCCTTTCCCAGTTATGTTAAGGGGCCCTCAAGGATGGGTGTCCATCCCTTTTTTGGGAAGGATGGTCTGAACATAGGGGTTGCTGTAGTCTCGGTTAAAACAGTCTGATTTGCCGCCTGGGACTCTGGGAGAGTCGGGAAGCTACCGTTAATGTGCAGAGTTAGTTAGCTAAGAATTTCAGTTGTAATTTTAGTTGATAAAATTGAATGGCTAACGAGAACTATACTTCTATAAATAACCTGAGGAGTATCAACAATATTCAGTTTTGCTTAATACTCCCTCCGTTCCTAAATAAACTTCCAACTTTCCTTTTTCGTCCGTTCCAATTAAAACTTCCACTTCCCTTTTTGGTAAAGAATTTGTGTTTCACAACATTTCTTACACATTTCTCTCTCCTCTGCACAACTCTCCACCATACAATATCCACTATCTTAAACTTTGTGTCAAACCCATTTGGAAGTTAAAATGGGAACGGAGGTAGTATCTTCTTATTCATCATTTCTTCATTTTCTTCATTATCTTCCATATTGAAAGTAGCCACCATTAACCGTCGAGTTATGCTCCTGTTACATTGGCATCAGAGATTTTTTATCCTGATTTGTTCATGTAATCTGAAATTACTTTCCGCAAATCACTCTGGCGCTTCGTTCACAATCTAAATCCGCCATTGAAGCTATGGAGGATCAGATACATGCACTCGTTCAATCACAACAGCAATTTCAGCATGAGATTCAACAACAATTTCAGCAATTGCTTGGAGTAGTTGTGGAATTGCAGAAAAAGGTTGACAAGGAATCTGTCGCTGGATCTAGGGGTGGACTCGGGTCCGGGCCGGGTCCGGGTCGGGCCTAGGCCCGGGCGGGCCGGCGGTTCAGAAATGGTGGACCCGGGACCGGCCCGGGTAACCACCGGGTCCGGTCCGGGCCGGGCCCATTATAATTTTTTTTGTTTTCCTCTTCCTAATTAACCCCCCTCCCACCCCCAAATCCCCAACCCCCAAATGGCCCAAAATACCCAGCCCAACCCGAAAATTTAAAAAAAAATTGAAAAAAAAAAAAGGTTTTGGCCCGAACGGGTCGGGCCTTGTTTTGGGTGACCCGAGCTCGGACCGGAAAACTCACGGGCCGGGCCTACCCGGACCGGTCACTGATCGGGCCACCGGGTCGAGCCGGGCCGGAACAGTATCGGTCCCGAGCCGGTTCCGGGTCGGGCCACCCGGCCCGAGTCCACCCCTAGCTGGATCACCTACAATTAATCACCACAAGGAGAAAGGAGGAAATTATTCCAAGATATTAGGTTATACTCCTAAACTTGACTTTCCACATTTCGATGGTAATAATAGTAGCATGTGGTTAAAAAATGTAAAAGATACTTTACCTTATGTCAAACTCCTGAGCAACAACAAGTTGATATAGCGGCATTAAATATGACTGGAAAGACAGAAATATGGGTGACTAACTACCTGGTTGATAGAAGTGGTGTAGATTGGCTTGAATTTGAGACAGATTTATCTGCTAGATTCATAGATGAATGTGAAAAAGATGTTGTGGAAAGATTTAATAGGTGCCATTAGAAAACATCTATTGATGTTTATATTGACGAATTTGAAGAACTTAAAAGCATCATGAAGAGAACTCATCCTTTATCAGAAAAGTACTTTTTGGATTGCTTTATAGGTGGATTAAAGGCATCAGTGAAATCTTTTGTAAGGATCCTTAAACCTTCTACCATGGCTGAGGCTATTGAAGTTGCTAGATCACAGGAATAGACTTTAGCTGCCGCTTCTAAAAGCAATATCATCTTTCAGAAAAGTAGTTCTAATATGATAACTGCTAATCAAAAGCCTTTTCCTTCTAAGGTTGCTTTATCCAAAGATCATAGTGATGGGGAAGGGAGTTCAAGGACATATATTCCTGCAGCTGTGAGGGTTGAGAAGCTGGCAAAGGGATTATGTTATTACTTTGATCAACCTTATGACAGAAATCATAAATGTCAATTTAAAAAGACTCAATTGTTTACTGTGGAGGTACAAGGATGGGAAGATGATGAAATAACTGAGGAGGAGTGTGAAAAGAAGGATGAAAATGAGCAGTTGTTAATGCAAGACCCCTGCATCTCTATAAATGCCCTATCAGGTTGTTCAGGGTTTCAAACAATGAGAGTGGTAGGATATTTTGGAAAGAGACCACTCCACAGGAAGTACTCATAACTTTATGGATATGAGTATGGCTCAGAAATGTGGTCTTATGATTGAAAAAATGAGAGTACAGACTGTCACAGTGGCAAATGGTAATCATTTAGATTGTCAGAACATCTGTAAAGACTTCTCTTGGACCATGAGGCAACAAGAATTCAAAACAGATGTACTTTTAATACCATTAGGAGGGTGTGATATGGTATTAGGAGTACAATGACTTATTGAGCTTGGACCAGTTCAATGGGATTTTAAACAGTTGATGATGAAGTTTCAGTGGCATGGCAAACCAATTACACTACATGGAGTACCAAAGGCACAACTGAAAGCATTGACTGAGCAACATTCTGAAAAGTTTATGGAGCAGGCTTCACAGATATTCTTCTTGCGGTTAGTATCTCATGAGGAAACAGTAACAGACCTTAATTGCAATGCAGTAGACATGTCAGAAGGGCAGAATTCTGAGGAAATACAGAAATTGCTTAAACAGTTTCAGGTCATATTTGAAGAGCCTAAATATTTACCTCCATCTAGAGGAATTTATGATCACAAAATTCCCTTGGAACAAGGTACCAATTCAGTCAATATTAGACCCTATAGATACTCTTTAAATCAAAGAGATATTATAGAAGGATTGGTGAAGGAAATGCATAATCATGGAATAATCCAGAAAAGTTCTAGCCCGTTTGCCTCTCGTGTGGTTTTAATTGGTAAGAAGGATGGTACTACATAGAATTAAACAAGAAAACCATCAAGAATAAGTTCCCCATACCTATTATTCACTACTAGAATTTTCCTTATTTGCTGCTACCCAATTGCTGCGGTTCTTATCTAAACCGCAGCAAATAAGCAAAATTTATAAGTATTTGTGGCGGTTCTTTTATGTCCGCAGCAAAATGTAGCAAAAATTCATACTTTTTGCTGCGGTCGTAGAGGAACCGCAGCAAATACTTATTATATTTTGAATTTCATTTTTTTTCAGTGTAGGGGAACCTTTTTGCTGCGGGTATGGGTGAACCGCATCAAATACTCTAAATTTGCCTGTATTTGCTGCGGTCGTATGGAAAACCGCAGCAAAAGCTAATTTCCTATAAGGTCTACACTATACATGATGCCTAACTTGATATCCTAAAAAACCCAACTGCAAACCTGATCCCTCAGCCAATCTGCCCTAATATAAGAACTCCACAGCTCCCCTGCCATAGAAAGAATCTGCTATCGCCGTCTCTCCCAGCCTAGAAAACAAGCCGCCGCTACACCTTCAGTTGCTTCAGAAAGAATCTGTTGCCGCCATCTCTCCCAGTCTAGAAAGAAGCCACCGCCGCCCTCCCTGAAACAAGCTGCCGATGTCGCCTCCTATCCCAGCCTGGAGATTAAGCCGCCGCTGCACCTTCCTTGAGTCGCTTCTTCCGTCTCATGCCCTCTGGCCGCCGCCTCTTCTTTAATTAGAGGTCTATTTGTATATTTTATCATCTCAATTTCTTTGTTTTTATTATTTTATGAAAGTTTAATATCTTATTAATTTATAAAATTAATGTTGTTTTTTATGTTTGTATGAAGTTGTAATTTTTCAAAATTAGTTATCCTTCCTATTATTCATTAATTATTATTTTCTGCACTGCTCCACTTCGGTGATTATTCGATCTAGACTACATACGAATCTCTATATATTTTTGCACATCCAATTTGATATTTAAGTTTACTTCCTTTACTTAATTAGCTACCTTTAGTTCACTATAATTCAATTTCTCTTAGAAGTTCAGCCCTTAGTTTTAGATAGACAAAAAAGACGGTTAATTAAGCTATTGGTTTATTGGTTAATTATCAGTTTATCACACATTGAGATGGAAGGATGTTTGTGGAAAGGACGGGGTTCTATGTCAAGCATTAAAGGTAAATACTTGCTTCTACATGTTTGTTTCCTCTTATATCTATGTCTGTTTATGGACTCTTGAAGTTTTGGTATGTAATTTTACATGATATACATTTGTTATTGGTTTATTGGTTGATTATCAGTTTATCACACATTGGGCATGTACTGGATTTGAGTTTAGCATACATGTGTGTGAAACCTATGTTAGAATTTAGAATGAGGTAGACCTAATTTAACACGTACCTGAACTTGGCTTGATTTTCTTGGTGTCCTCACACAATAGTTTCCAGCCTGTTTGGGATGCATTTGTTCATCTTTAAGTTGTTCATGACTACATAGGCTGATGGGGATTGTGTCAGACATGGTTATCTATAAGTCTAGTACATAAGTGTGTGGTAAACCTCAATCTCTTGAGGTCTTTTGTGTGTGTGTTGTCAATCCAGTTTAACATTTACATAATGTCAGAGAAATTATAATCCTTTTTATAATTATTAATTCTTCAGGGCTCAATTCATTGTAAGGTTGATACAAATACAAGTCTTCGTAGAGATTCCTTCCGCAGGCACGATCTTTTTCATTGCGTTGGTGCTACCATCAGCTTGGTGACCCTATCCACTTCTCAATTTCTTCTTGTTTTTTTGTCCATTGATGCGTTGAGACACATAGATAAATTATTGTGTTATATTTATATGATGAGTTATGGATGTTGTTATGGTTCTGGTGATGAATTTCTGTCAGTTTTTTACTTATATGATTATATAGATGCATCTCATTTTGTTAATAGATGCATCTCCACACCCTTCTTTTATTTTCCTTGTGTGTAGGACCTTCTTGGAAGATAAAGTTCATTGATTGAAGTGGCTAGTGCTGCTGTTTGATACAACGCAAACAACACTCTGAATTTCAATATAATAAGCCTTTAATTTTGTTAGTAATGTCTAATGTTAAAGACCTGCCTTTAATTACAACGCAAGTCTTAAGTTGTCTTTATAAAGGCCTTACACCTTTTTGTATCTTAAGTCGGTAATATTAATTTATATTTTATTTATACATCTTTGGGACATAATACTCTGTATATTTTAAATGAGTAACATTTTTTTGATATCGGATGTATACCTTGAATATGGGTGATTAATTTATATCACCCGTACTTTATGTAAACTTGTGAAGTACAAATGTATTAAATTATTAATTTGGAGCAATAATAAAAGAAAATAAGAAGCATGTAATTTATCCATTTGGAGCAATATAATAATAAGAAAACCAGCAGCAATGATTACATGTAAAAGTTGATGCGGTTGTTAGGGCAATTGCTCTACTTTGTTAAACTATTTGCTGCGGTCATATAGGACCCACAGCTATAAGTAAATTAAAAAAACTAATTTGACACCTCTATTTGCTGCGGTTGTTAACCGCCGCAAATAACTTAACCCACTTTTTGGTGCTCCTTCATTTGTTGCGGTTCCAAACCGCATCAAATAACTCAAAATAACCGCAGCAAATAGACTTTTTTCTAGTAGTGATATTGATGAACTAATTGATGAACTGGCTGGTTCTACAGTTTTCAGCAAGTTAGATCTTAGGGCTGGATACCATCAACTAAGGATGAATAAGGAGGATGTGTATAAGACAGCATTCAAAACTCATGAAGGGCGCTATGAGTTTTTGGTTATGTCTTTTGGATTGACAAATGCTCCGGCTTCTTTTCCAAATTGGATGAATGAAATGCTCAAACCTTTATTGAGAAATGTGTGCTAGTTTTCTTTGATGACATTCTTGTTTATAGCAGAACCAAGGAAGATCATTGGAAACATTTAGAAATGGTGTTTCAGATCATGAAAGACAACCAAATGTATGCCAAAGCTTCTAAATGTGCATTTGCTATGCCTAAGGTGGAATACTTGGGACATTTCATTTCTGGATCAGGAGTTGAGACAAATCCAAAGAACGTTGGGACAGTAAGTAAATGGCCTGTTCCTAAATCCGTGAAGCAGCTGAGAGGATTTTTAGGTCTCGCTGGTTACTACAGAAAGTTTGTCACGTTTTATGGGGTCATAAGCAAACCTTTGACAAATATACTGAAGAAAGGAGCTTTTGAATGGAATCAGGAAGCTCAAAAGGCATTTGAGAAGATGAAAGTAGCTCTAGTTTCTGCTCCTGTGTTGGCACTTCCTGACTTTTCTAAAGTCTTTGTGGTGGAAACTAATGCTTCCAATGAGGGAATAGGGGGAGTGTTAATGCAAGAGAATCACCCTCTTGCTTTTATCGGCAGATCATTGGGTACCAAATGGCAGAAACTTTCAGTATATGAAAAAGAGTTATTAGCCATTGTCTTTGTTGTTCAAAAATGGGAACAATATCTGAGTTCTCAACATTTTATTATCAAGACAGATCAGAAGAGCCTTAAGTGGTTATTAGAACAAAAAGTTTCCACACCATTTCAACAATTTTGGTTATATAAACTAATGGGTTTTGATTATGAAATCCAATACAGGTCTGGCAAGGAAAATGTGGTGGCAGATGCTTTATCTAGAATGCAGGGGACTGAACTATGTTGCTTAGCTATATCATTGGTGGATTTTGACTTGGAGCATTTGATAAAGAAAATCTATATTGGAGATGTTAATCTATCTGCACTTATACAATCTCTGCAGCGGAATCATGGGGTGGACAATTATTCCTTACAAAATGGGCTGCTCAGAAGAAAGGGAAAAATTGTGATAGGAAATGATAATTTGCTGAAACAAAAGATATTGTGGTGGCATCATGATTCAGGTGAGGCTGGACATTCAGGCAGGGATGCAACCGTCAGAAGAATTAAAACCCTCTTTTATTGGAAGGGGCTCAATAAAGAGGTGAACAATTTTGTTAGAAATTGTGTAGTGTGCCAAGCAAACAAACATGAGAATGTGGCTTATCCAGGGCTGTTACAACCCTTACCTATTCCAGAGGAAGTTTGGGTGGACATATCTCTAGACTTCATTACAGGATTACCAAAATCTGAAGGGAAAGAATTGATTTTGGTAGTGGTGGACAGACTTAGCAAGGCAGCTCATTTTGTGGCTCTTGCACATCTTTTTACAGCAATTGAAGTGGCCCAAGCATATTTGGATAACATATTCAAATTACATGGATGGCCTAAGAGTATAGTAAGTGACATGGATGCTATATTCTTAAGTCAGTTTTGGAAGGGATTATTTTCTATTCATGGAACTCAGTTTAAACTATCTTCTGCTTACCATCCACAAACTGATGGGCAAACTGAGATAGTGAATAAATGTGTGGAATGTTACTTGAGGTGCATGTGTGGTGAAAGGCCAAAAGAGTGGAGTTTTTGGCTTCCATTAGCAGAGTGGTGGTTTAATAGCCATTTTCAAACTTCAGCAGGGATTACCCCATATGAGATTATGTACAATCAACCACCTCCTTTATATCTACCCTATCTGCCCGGAGAGTCCAAGGTTGATGCTGTTGATAGATCCATGCAAAGAAGGGATGAAATGATAAAACAACTCAAGGAAAATCTGGCCAAAGCCCAATTCAGAATGAAACATATGGCTGATAAACGAAGGAGTGAAAGAGAATTCTTTGTAGGGGATTGAGTTTGGTTAAAACTTCAGCATTATAGGCAACAATCTGTGCATACAAGGAGTAATCAGAAACTGGCTGCAAGGTTCTTTGGTCCATTTCAATTCAAAGAAGTTATTGGGAAGGTTGCTTATAAGCTCAAACTACGAGATGATTCTCTAATACATGATGTTTTTCATGTTTCACAACTCAAGAAGTTTAGGGGTGAATTGCATATGGCTGCACATATTCCTGCATGGTTTAGTGGTCAACCTGCAGATCTGGTTCCTCAACCAGAAAAGATTCTGGAAAGAAGGGGTGTCAAATTCCAGAATAAGGTGCAAGTGCAATTCTTGGTTCAATGGAAGGGATTTGCAGTAGAGGAAGCTACTTGGGAATCAGCTGACCATTGAAGGAATCAATATCCTGATTTTGATGTAAGCAAAAATACTACATGACTTGAGGACAAGTCAATGGTTTTAAGGAGGGAGGAATGTAATGGTAGTCTTAGCTACCGTTAATGTGCAGAGTTAGTTAGCTAAGAATTTCAGTTGTAAAGTTAGTTGATAAAACTGAATGGCTAACGAGAACTATACTTGTATAAATAACCTGAGGAGTATCAATAATATTCAGTTGTTGCTTAATATCTTCTTCTTCATCATTTCTTCATTATCTTACGTACTTCAATATGGCGATCATCCATATTGAAAGTAGCCACCATTAACAGTCGAGTAAGGCTCCTGTTACAGGGCGTAGCTGTTATTGTGACTGGATAGGGTGCTTCAACGGTCATTACTGAAAATAATGTGTGATTTACCTCAATAACTTTTATATATATAGATACAGTTATACACATTAATGTATAACTTTAAATGTGTGAGTTATATTTTACTACCTCTCTACAAATTGTCCAACGCATCGCCACCGCCCAAACACATTTCCCAGTCCAGAGACCACCGCCCCTAGTCCCCTATTGCCCTTGCCTGATTTTAATATCCATTTTTGCTCATTTAAGAAGCAGAAACAATTTTAAAAAGTAGATACAAACACCGCTTAATTACTATTGTGGAATGTGATAGACTCATGTCCGTATTTAAACAAGATGAATTTAAAACAATTACTAAAGTAATACAGGAGTATATCAAAAGTGTTGCAGTTGTAAGACAGCCGCGTCGTATATTGCACAGTCGTTGATGACCGCCGCGTCAATAAGTGTGAAAAGAATATGAAACATTGTTGCTATGGATCTTAACTGCAACAAATAGCCGAAATAAATATTTTTTAGTCAAGTGTGAGTCTAATTATCCACCGTCATAAAATTTATCTACTTTCTATGAAAGAAAGATATAATTTAAAGATATTTGAAAGTAGACGGATGGCAAATAAAGTTAATAGATAAGATTGGAAAAATAATTTCAACTAACTATTCATCATCTACTCATAATAATTTCAATTATTGATTATGTCTATTTCATCCCAACTATATGACTTGTCTGTCAATAATGGTCTATGATCGGGTATGACCTGCTATATCTCCTTACCGCATTTTAAAAATAAAAAGTTTACATTATATTTCATATTTATTTAGAATTTTTTTCTTTCTATTTTTTGATAAATATTTATTTTGGGGTTCCTTTGTAAATTTATGATTTGTATTGATTTTTAACTAATTTTAAAATTATTCAATATTTTAATTAGGACAATTACCTTTTATTTTTTAATATTTTTCAATATTACTACACATCTTTTATTTTTTTTTGCACTTACTTAATTTTAAAAAGTAGGTTTTCATTTTTTAACTGTCAATTTTTTACTTAATTTGCATTTTCGTTTTACCTTTAAAGTTTTATATTGACCTTTTATCAGTTGCTTTGTTTATATATTTTACATTCTTTAGACATTTATAATACCTTAAATATTACAAAATTTAGTTTTGAAATTTATACAAGTTCTTACATATCTTATATTTATATATTTAATATTCTTTAATTTATTTCTATAAACTACCTAAAAAAATTAATAGTAATACAAATAATATCAATAATTAATTTTACACTCGGCTACTTCTTTTTAATCGGCTACTTCTTTTTAATTGGCTCAAAATAATCAATAATTATGATTATTTTGAGTAGATCGATAATAATTAATTGTCGCATAAGGCTGACCGCAATGGAAGGGGTGACTACTCAAATGTAAGGGTTTCACCCCACAATGGCTACAACCCAACAAAAAATATGTATTCCAAAGTCTCAAAGTCAATTAAGGGAACCCATGGGAGGGATAAGTGATACCATATTGATTCAAGAAAGAGATGACAATGAGGACTGACGCACGAGAAAGGTGATGGGTAAATGGAAGAATTTCCTAGGGCCCAACTTAAATAAAAATTCCTTTAATCTTTAAAGTGTCATAATTTTTTATGAGAAATTCATTTTTTATAAAAAATATATCAAAATTCATAATTTTTTATTCTCTTTCATACGACATCAAAATCGCAAATGTAAAATTAAAAAAGAAAAAATTAAATTTCAACTGCTGGAGATTCTCAAACCCAAACTTTTTCTTAAATGAATCTAAGTGCTAAAATTAAGATCTCATAGTTCAAATACCATTTTACATCTAATAGTTTTAAATTTATTTCAAATTGAACTCTCAAGTGGGCATTTTTTATACTTATAAAAAAAATTAATTTACGTTTTTTATTTTTTTACATCGAAATGTTTGACTTTTCAAATAAAAATTATTGGTAAAAATAAAATTATCACATAGATGATGTGTAATAAAAAAGTAAGGATTTATATATTTACTTAAAAAAAATATGTGCTGAGTGGATATATTGACGATGATGGATTGCAGAGAAAAACTGAATTGACCGAGTGAACACGTATAAAGTGGTGTGAGATTAGACTTATTTATGGGCTGGATTGCGGTTAGCCTAAGGATAATACGTAGTATAAATTTTGTCCGGACCATCCGACCATGATTTGTTGTTAGTAGGGGTGGACATTTCAGTTTTCGGTTCGGTTTTCTTCGGTTTCGGTTCGGTTTCGATTTAATCGGTTTGATAGAAAATTACCAAATACAAACCAATTAAATTCCGGTTTGGTTTCGGTTTGGTATGGTTCGGTTCGGTTTGGAGTTCGGTTTACCAAAGTATTAAAGTTTGGATTGAAATAAAAAAAAATTAACTCAGAATAATGAATCAAGAAGCGATAGTAATGAACCAAATATAATGTTAGATATAAATTTGCAACCAGTAACAAAACACATATGAACCAAAAATATATAAGCATGACACATTTGTAAGCAACAACAACAACGGAGATGAATCAAATTATATATAAAGCCGAAACAAAAACAAAACTGGTGCTTGTAAGTAATGATCCAAATATCTATAGTTGGAGATAATAAATTATAGTTAAATACTATCTATTTAAACCACTATAATTGTTATAGTTGTGAATGTAACTCTTGTAGTAAACTCTAATCCTAGACAATAAAATTAAAGAATTAAAGTTTCAAAAAGATTAACATCAATCAAATTAATGAGAGAAATCTTATATTTTGGTTTGGTTTAGTTTGGTGTAAGTTGGTTTTGATTTGTTATTTTAAAAAAATAAGAAATTGTTTCATTTTTAGATTAGTTCAGTTTTATTCGGTTTTATGATTTCGGTTCAATTTACTTCGATTTAATACGGATTGCGAGGAATACTACCAAAATCAAACCAAATTACAAATGATTCGATTTCGGTTTGGTTTAATTCGATTTGGTACGATTCGATTCGATCAAACCGAATCGTTATGTCCATCCTAGTTGTTAGCATTTTTAACTCATACGTAGTAGGGAGTAAAAGTTTGGTAGCACTGTCGAAGATATGGTGATATCGGCAAATTTGTTGAAACACGTCTTTTTTGTGTAAAAACGTCAGATTAAGTATTTACAGGCAGCCCACCTAACACTCAACTAGAATCCAAAGTCGGAGCTAAATCCACGTGAACTCGAACCTGGTTGAGTGGTTCTCTGAAATCTTACCTGAGCAGATAATTTTGTCCCAATTCGATCGGAATTCAGTGCCAGAATGATCTCTCGCTGCTCCAACTGGAAGCTTCCGGCGGTGGAGTTTCGCCCCCCATTGTTAGGGTGCCCGAATCAGCGGGCACGGCCGGCGGAATTTCATTTCAGTAGGACTGCCACCAGGAGCTGCCGTCCTAAGTCCACGAACAGAGCCTCGCAATTTCGAGTCTCCGCGGTGGAACGCAGTGGCAACAGCGGCGCTGGGGAAAGCTCAGCCAGTAAGAAGCCGACTCCGACTTCGTCCGCGTCTGTACCTAATTCGAACTACATGGTCCCACTGGACAAGCCATCTTCATGCCTTACTCGCCCTCTTGCCGAGATCCTCCGCGACCTCAATAAGAGGATCCCTGATAACATCATAAAGGATCACGACAGTAATGATCCTCATTCCACATTCATCCCCTGGTACGAATTTATTCAATTCCTTTTGGTTTTGCTGCTGTCGTCTTTTGTTTAGTTTGAGTCTTAACTCTAAATTGTTAGTTTACCAAATTCCTTAACTATGTAAATTCATTTTCTGCTATGCAGGTACCATGCCAATCGCATGTTAAGCTTCTACGCCCCAGGTGACACTGATAATTGATAAAGATGTTTAGTTTCTGCCCTAAAATACTAATTTATATATGCATATCTAGAGTGGAATGTAATCCAGTCATCATCTATGTTATTTATGCCTTAACTTTATATAAGTAATCTACTGAGTAATATGTTGGCAATACAATATTATGAAATTTTAGAAGTGTTGAGAAGGCTATCAGAGGTATTGAGTCACAAACATGGAATTTTATATACCGTATTCATTTAGGAGTCCCATTGAGAAGTAGGAAGAAAATGTGTAGCTGACTAACTGTTCCTTTACTTAAAGGAGGTAGCTAAAGTGATATTCTTGGTGTTTCTTACTCATTTCACACAAGTCTTCACTAAATTTTGGCAGCAATTTCTGTGTTAACTTTTGGACAGTATTAAAACATATCAACTTACAAAAAAGCGAAAAAACTCAATGTGCATCATTTATATACAAACAGGACTTGTTAAGGATCATAATATATGCCTCCTAAAGACTGGTGGTCTAAGTAGAAAAAAATTAGTTCCCCTTATGCAATATATTTGTTTTCGGGTCTTGCTCTATGTAGCTGGTAACCTGGTACTTACTAGATGGCACAGTGTCTTTAACTAGGGTACTAAAGTAATAATCATAATGAAGTGATACTCCCGTAGTTCATGGTTTGCAGTGAGGCTAAATTGGCTTGGGTTGGATGTTCAAATCTTACTTTGCATGAAGTCAGACTCACACACCTTGAACCCTAGCCTAACCTAATTGCGTAGCAGTAACATGAGTCTTGTACTCTTGTTTCATATTTTGATTGAGGTGCAGTGCTCATATTATTTGAACATAGCTTACTGTATTTTTTCCATAGTAACTTTAGTGCATTGGTTAAAGACTTAAAGAAATTGAAACCAAACTAAAATTTTATCATTCTTTACCTCTTAGCACTCTTCATCGAGTAATTGAGAGCTCCTTCTATGTGCACACAGTAGTTCTCTTAGTCAAATGTTAATTCTGAACTTTATCATAGGAAGGCATTGCTTGCGAATGGATAGAGACATGCTCTTTGAAAATATATTTAGCTCAGCCATGGAGTTATGCATAACACCATAATAGGGTAATCCCTTATTCCCTTCCCCACACTCCATGCACCAAATCTTTCTTTGTTCAGTAATTTAGTAAGTTATTAGCTCTTTATTGGGTCACGTCATGTACTCAACCCTTTCCTATACACAGAGTAATTGTTTGCTGCTTTCATGCTTTACAAGTTTACATCAATACATTAGGAAATTGTTGATTTCTTTGTCCAAGCACTTAGATTGTTTCATTTGTTTGCAAGTCTGGCCAATGAGTCTGAGTATACATCTCTTTGCAGGTTGGTGTGGAGAAATAAGGGATGTTATTTTCTCTGAGAACGGAAGTGTGACTGTCGTTTACCGTGTCACAGTACTGGGATCAGATGGAGAGGTATGTCATTCTTATATAAGTACATTATACTTGAGCATAAAAGTCACTGGACTCCATTGAAGTAGTAGCTGGCACATTCACTACACACATGTTTACATTCATCAACAATGGTTTATGGACTGCTTGTGCTACTTTTGTAAATTGTTTACCTGGTTACATAGTGACTGTAAGTAACCATTTATGTTTTTAGCGGTATGTGCTTAAAGGATTACCAACATCTTCTTTGCATGGATTTATAGTGTTAATTCTATGAACTGCCATTTAGGCGCCAATGATGATTATCTTAGCTGTTGTAAATTGGCATGGATATGTTGTGCAACTCTTTATTAGAATGAGGGGCTATATCTGGTCAACGCGGATAGTGGGAGACTGGCTCTAGTATCTACATTTTGCCAAAAGTTGTAAATGTTGAAAAATACGCCCGACACCCGTTAGATGGTAGAGTGGGTGTAGCGCCTGGTTAGGAATTAATTGAAGTTAAGCAGGGCATATATAATTTGGTGGGGCCGGGGAGGGAAAATCACCTAGGCCCCAAGTACCTCCGTAGTATAATGAATTATTACGAGTTTGACCTTGATAATCCAACAATAAAATGAAGGGAAAATGCCTTAAATAGGAGTATAAAAATTTTGAAATTCCAAAATACAGCTGCCATGTTTTTATTCCGCAAATAGGAGTAATTTCGGCCAAGTTTGGCATTATGAGGCTTTAAACATGGCAATTTTTAAATAGGAAATTACTCCTATTTAGAGAATAAAAACGTGAAGGCCCTATTTTGGAATTTCAAAACGTTTTTACTCCTATTTAGGGCAATTTCTATAAAACTAACTCGACATTCTATGAACCAAACAACTCAAGATAATTTCATACGGAGTATCGGAGTATCAGGTAAAGTAATCATAGATTTGGTGAACCCAACGCCCCTTACAATTGCATATCCACATTTGCTGTGTTTTTCCTAGTTTGTTACAGTCCCCACATCTTCTCTCATTTTGTACACAAACTTTTCTTGTGCATCATCTAGTCTAATTCTTTTGACCATTGTAGCCGTTTCAAACAAATCTGGATGACTAGCTCTAATTTGTATGTAATTGTGCAAATTATATTGTGAAGGCATACCGCGAGTCAACTGGAACAGTGCCTTCAGGAGATGAGAGCGTCAGAGACCCAGTCACTGCAGCTGAGGAGATTGCATTTTGCAGAGCTTGTGCTCGGTTTGGACTTGGTTTATATCTTTACCACGATGAATAGCTTCCAAAGAAAGGACAATTTTGAGTCGAAGCTGTCTGAAACTTTAATAAGATGTTTTGGTTCGATAATATACATTAACCTAAAAGCTTTTGCTTCATGATTCGACTATGACTATTGCTGCCTCCGCAGCTTTTCAGTTCTGGATTTTAATTTTGCCCAGACTCATGAATTGGCTTATCTCATCGAGCAAAACGTCACGGTTATTTAAACAATAATTAAATAACATAATTCGAGTACTTTGAAAATAATTTCAATAGGTATATCATATAATGAGATTAGTGTTGATAATTGTGATGTTATAAATTTTTTATTTTTATTATTTAATGATTAATTCATCATTTAATATTATTAATTGTTTCCTAAAATGAAAATGAAAATCTTTACATGGGACATGCAAAAAGAGAAAGTGAGAACATTTCTATGGGACGGAGTGAGTATTTTATTAGTAAACTTGAGAAAGCATGATATCAAGATAGCTAAAAAAAGTCGCATTCTGAAAAAGTTTGATGGTAAGATTTAAGTAAAAAAGGGAAAAGGGACAAATAAATCCTCGAACTAATCGAAAAAGTGCAAATCGCCCCTTTTATAGGAGGCTCTGTCCGGTCCTCGCCATTTGGGGCGGTTATCGGTGGAGTTTTTTGATGATTTTTTTTGAGTGTCGCACCACACAAGAATACAAGATTTAAATATCTAAGACCTGGTTTAATTAATTCAGTTCAAATTAAACTTAAACTTGATTGACAGTATATTTATATACGAAAGTAATTACATATACAGACTAAAAATGAAATGAAGATGTTTTTGTTAAAAGTATTATCATAAGAGTATAAATTTCAACAAACTTTAATGGTCCACAACCAATGAAATTAATATGTTAATGGTCCTAAGAAAATAGGACCAAAACAATGCATTTTCCCTAAAATAAGATCTACTAGTTTAAAATGCTACAAATAGACTTTTTTTATTTATGATTGGACTAAAATAGCCTCGTAAGGTTGGAGCATCGTTGTCCCTATATCGGAATTTTTTTCTAGAACTCTGCCGTGATATGCTAGAACTCCGCCGTCGGGCCCGCCACCATCGATCTGACCTAGATTATACAAGCGAGCTAATAGGCAATTAATTAATTAAATTATGATATAAAAGTAATATTTCATTTATATTTAGATAAAATCAAACATGTAGTTCTATTTTTGAAAGTATGTTACATAGTATTCCGTACATTTTAATATTAGTTTGAACTATTTCCTTAGAAATAAATACCACACGGATAAATATAACATGCCCCCGCAGTCCGCATGGGATGAAATGGGGATATGGAGCATACAAAAAGGAATAATTACTTTACTTCGCAAGATCAAGTCAACAAGTTGAGATGGCCGAGTTGGTCTAAGGCGCCAGATTAAGGTTCTGGTCCGAAAGGGCGTGGGTTCAAATCCCACTCTCAACACATGTTTTGGACGAGTTTATGATCGTCATTTTTGGCATTCGGTTTTAATTTTTTGCCCATTCCTCTCTATATATCCACAAAGTATCACTAAATAATACAACTGTCAATCATAACTGTTGCAGATTCAATTGATTGAACTACTCACTATCTTTGAAGTGAATTTGAAGAGAATTTATTTATATATATTTCAAAATCTTGAAGAAAGTACTCCGTAGCATATTACATTATAGAAAATTTATTTATGTTATAGAGAATTTGAAGAAAGTAACGTATTACATTATAGAGAATTTATTTATATATATTTCAAAATCTTGAAGAAAGTACTCCGTAGCATATTACATTATAGAAAATTTATTTATGTTATAGAGAATTTGAAGAAAGTAACATATTACATTATAGAGAATTTATTTATATATATTTCAAAATCTTTAAACCTACTTGCAGTTTGGTGAAAAGTGTTTTCCGTTAAAACCACCCATTATTCAATGCCACTTGATTTGATCAAAACCTTTTTTTTTGAAAACAAATAACTCAATTATTAGGAATTTTATCAATTCAGGACCTGAAAGATGAGATCTATCAGTATAGGACCCCAATGATGAAAAACTATCAATTTAGGACCTAAAATTTTATAGGTTTTGATTTATTTAATTTTTTATTACATTGGTAATTTTTGATAAACTTTTATTCACAAAAGTTTATTAGTTTCATAAAAATAAATAATATTTAAAAATTTTAAGATAAAAAAATTAATAAAATTTCAGACAACTTAGGTCCTAAATTGATAATTTCCAATCATTCAAGTCCTAAATTGATAGTTTTCCATCATTCGGGTCCTATATCGATACATTTCATCTTTCAGATCCTGGATTGATAATTCATCTATCTTTCGGGTCCTGAATTGATAAAAATCCTAATTATTATTAATGAGGATGACAAGAAACATTACAAACATAAAACCCAAGGCTACAATGGGATGAGACATAGAAACGAACGATTCTAATCGAAAACGCCGAATCGCTAATCCCGCAAAGAAATAGATTGACTGCTCCTGCTACGATCACAATAATTATCAAAAGAACTCTTAAACATCCCGGTTTCTCCAGCCACCGGTAAGGAGCCAACTGTAGCATTTGTTCCAGTTTCACCAGCCACCGAAAAGAAAGCAACCCAAATGATCTCATCTTCCTGGAACGGTGGTGGTTCAGGAGGGGGGCGATCCGTCTCAATATCGTCGCTGAAGAAAATCATGTTTTTGATTGATGAAGAGATCAATGCAAATCTCTTCTTAGCACACAAGAACGCCCGACCGAAAGTGGCGGGGAATATGGATCTGGCAGATGATATTTCGCTACCGAAAATTATACCTCCAAAAAACGTTGGGAAAGAAACACATGAATAAAACTGAAAACACTTATTAAGAAGATGTTTTTCTATTATTGAAATCAAAGAAGATTGAAAGAAGAGAAGAAAAGAAGAGAAAAAGAGGAGGCGGCGACTAGGGTTTCCCCATGCCATTGATGCTTCCCTATCTGATAAGTTAAACCTTTTATCAAAACCTATTACTTAAAACCTACTTATGTAAAAATGTCTTTACTTGAATATGAAAAGTTGGCTTCTTTTCTATATGAAGTTTAAATGTCCTCCAACCTTATAGTATAACAAAGCATACATTAGGTAATTAGATTATAGATTTTGTTTAAGCAAACACGTTGATTCACAGACACACTCGAAATTGTAATTATATTCAATCATAAGTTCAAATATTATACTCCATCCGTTTCTGAAACAAGTTCCACATTTGACTTCACACATATTAAGAAAATAAATTTGAATTTACTGTGGAGTGCACTGTTTGACACTGTTTAAACACTGTTTGGCACTGTTTGAACACTGTTTGACACTGTTTGACACTGTTTTGATGTAGATAATTTGCCAAATAAGGAAATGTTTGAAAGTGGAACTTAATTTTAAATCTCCCCGAAAAGGAAAGGTGGAACTTGTTTCAGAAACGGAGGGAGTATATTGTGTATGGAAAATAGTACATACATTTTTTCTCCATAGAAGGAAATATCACACACAATGCATATGTGGAAATACTAGGTTTGTTCTAGAATTTCCTTTATATATATATATATATATATATATATATATATATATATATATATATATATATATATATATATATATATATATATATATATATATATATATATATGACTACGTTATTCTTTGGAAAGTTGAAAGATAAAGAGGGTGCTAGATTATAGGTGTCATCTTCTATAAAACTTGCTGATAGATGATGGAAGAAATGGTTGAAGTGGGCTGAAGTATTTCAAAGTGTTTCAAAATATTATTTTTGATAAATGGAGGTTACTCCTAAATAGTTTTAATATAATCAATGTGTTAAACTAATTATAATGCAAAAGTTTAAATCTATATCTATAATTAAAAGCATTGTGTGATGGAGAAAGGTTTTCCTATATATACAAACTATCCTAAAATTACGTGGATTAAGTTGGGCTAAAAATACGTATGGACCGCACAATAATATTGCAATACTTTTAATGGATTGTATTACTAAAGGAAACACCTATCCAGGTCTAAAGTGGCAGCATAAAGTCATTCATTCACCACATATGGCAAAGCTGTTGCACTATGTTCCGTTGTTAATCTGAAGGCTGGTTGAAGGAAATGAATCAAATGACGGGAGACACACACCTTTCGTATATGGTCTCATGCATGTTACGTGTGTTATTTGATTTGAAAATAAACTAACCTCCCAAAAGCCATGCCACCGGTCATGGATAGTGGCGTCAATCAAATTGATGGTTATAGGTTCTCATATTATTTATTTATTGAGTTTCACGTCATTTATTTACAATTATAATTTACTTTATAGGTATTGTGTTAATTTTTAATCTATGTTTTTTGGAAATATGTTTGAAAATCATAATTTCAATTTGACAAACTTACCAGTTTCAAAATATGCACTCCGTTTTATTTATTATGTGAAATCTAAAATAGGACTATGTTCTATCACACTTTCTTATTACCAATTTAGCAGATTTATTTTAGTGGTAAATTATTTTTTAATTTGACTTGGAAAATGATGTCTTCATAATCAGAAATAAGTTTTTATCATGAGGAATGATTTCATTGCGAATTTGATAATGTTATTATGAGGAAAAGTTTAAAAATGTTATGTTATGTTGCCTTTTAGTGTGCATAGTTATGTCTCGCCAACAATGTATTGGGTAATGGGTACCAAGCTTTTGGAGCACTTTTTGCAAGATGACCAGATATGTACACATAAATTTACACCCCTCTTTGGTTGCTAATATATTTTGTTTGTTTACAAGTTTGCTTCTATGAACCAAGGATATTGGAACAGATTTAGTGAGCCAAAATACTTTTTTACAACTTTCTTATCTAATTAAACAAAAAAATATTATAACATATTACATTATAAAGCATTTACTTATATACGATATTATATTTCCAAATCTTTAAACCTGCTTGCAGTTTGGTGAAATTTTTTTTTCGTTAAAACCACCCATTATTTAGTGCCACTTCAATAGATCAAAACCTATTATTTAAAACTTACTTACGTAAAAATGTGTTTACTTGAATATGAAAAATCAGCTTCTTTCTATATGAACTTTAAATGTCCTCCAACCTTATAGTATAACAAAGCATACAATAGGTAATTAGGTTATAGATTTTGTTTAGGCAAACAACGTTGATTCACTAAACACACTCGAAATTGTAATTATATTCAATCATAACTTCAAATATTATATAATGTGTAGGGAAAATATTACATTTC